CCTTAAACAGGTAACAGTTCGTATAATCTAATATGGTTCGTATACAGTACTATTTTGACATATGATAGCAATCATTTAAATTCATCGTAATCGTAGTTATCAATTCTTATTAATTCAAAATGTAATTTTGAATAACACTTAGCTTATCTCAGTTCACATTCCTCAAATAATATTAATGTTTACCTGAAGAACGACCTTCCGTCTCTTGCCATTTCGTGTAATGTCTCCAACAACAGGTTGAACATTCAAGTCCTTTATTGGAAAGCAATGTATTATAGGCTGTTCAATAAGTAATGACACTAAGGCTCTCATTTTGTCAAATTTTGCTTGTTTTATCTCAAATTTTCACCATATGTTGAAAATACATTTGTCTATTTATATGCGGAAAATCACCCGATATAACTAATAATAACCAGTAATTTGGTTGCCATAGCAACATGAGGATACAGCACTTGACTTGGATCATAATCGATAAGAATGATAAGAATGATGGCCCATCAGTACATTTTTATACCCCTATCTTTCTTGAGTATAGTGGATTTCGAAGCATAATTTTTGTGTTTATGTTTTATGTTTATGTTTTGTGTTTGTTTTGTGTGTATGTTGCTATGGTAACTAAATGGTATGACATCACAGTTAATTTCTCAAAAGTAGGGAATCCAATGAGTCATAATGATCATAGACTCCCTCAAAAAAGGGAAAAGTCCTGAAAACTGCAAAAACATGAGTTTGGCACTACAGCAAAGGAGTTCAATAAAAACATTTGTATTGCTTGGGAAACAAGCAAAAGATATATCGAGTATATCCAGGAGGCTTATGGTAATGACTCTATGAGTAAGCAATCAATTTTCCGGTGGTGCAAAATGTTCAAAGAAGGAAGGAAAAGTGTGGATGATGATGATCGCAGTAGGAGGCCAAAGTATGAAAACAATGATGAAAAAATTGAAGAGGTTAAAGGCCTGGTTGACACAAACAAACTTCTTTGAACATTTTTGAACATAAACACAAAACATAAACATAAAACATAAACACAAAAATTATGCTTCAAAATCCACTATACTCAAGAAAGATAGGGGTATAAAACATGTACTGATGGGCCATCATTCTTATCATTCTTATCGATTTGGATCCAAGTCAAGTGCTGTATCCTCATGTTGATATGGCAACCAAATTACTAGTTATTATTAGTTATATCTGGTGATTTTCGGCATATAAATAGACAAATGTATTTTCAACATATGGTGAAAAATTGAGATAAAACAAGCACAATTTGACAAAATGAGAGCCTTAGTGTCATTACTTATTGAACAGCCTATATAAGTAAGGTTCACTGCTGGGTCCAGAAACTAACAATGGGGGGGGGGTTCATTTCAAGTCAGAATAAAGTTCGGGCCCCTTACACCAAAAGTCGGGCCCATATTTTGAAAATTTAAGGTCCATTTTGGAGGTCCTACAAAATTCCTGGAGCCCTAAAAATTTTCTGGGCCCAGTAATGTTTATAGAATTCTTTGAATTTCTAAATGATTCTGATTTGCGTTTTCTCGATTATGTCCGAATAATACGGTGAAGTGATACTATCTTTCGTTTAAAACATTATACTTTTATTTGGAGAAATGTAGCTTATTTTGGTAACTATAAAAGTAGCAAAATAAATGATTTGATGACTATAAAATTCCTCGTTATTTCGTCCAGTGTGTAATAATGGAGAAGCCTGTCTCGCTCATCTTTGTCGATTACTTATTAATCTGATACATAAGGAGCGTCTCAGAAAAGTTACACTAGCATTTTGTTTTTTTAGTTTCGATATCATAAAAACTGTAGATATATTTGAGAAAAAAGGAAATACAATTCATATATCTTACGTAGTCAAATATATCATGGTGTATTAATTGCCTAAACCAGACGACTTTCCCATCACTGACATTTAAAGCAACCACCGAATTGCAATAGTGGTTGTTGCCGATTCTATGTGTTCCCATGTGGTCTAGATTGGCAGAACT